ATCCATTTTAGAAATTTTATGAGCTTTAGAAGATGCGTGACCAAAGAATTCGTGCTTCGCTTTTGCATGTTGTACGATTTCAAACAAAGAAAAAGTGCGGCAGAAGCGCATCGAACTTTGTGCGATGCTTTTGGGTAGGAGATCATAAGCGGACGGCAGGTCCATTTGGTTTAACGTTTTCGAAATGGAGAAGAAATCTTAGAAGACGTCTTGTGCGATGACCGTAAATTAAGGAAGATAGTCGAGACGGATCCAACTCAAACGACACGAGAGCTAGCTAGTAAATTAATTGCACACATGCCACCATCGAAAACATCTGCGAGCTTTTGGTAAGACGAACAAATGCGGCAAATTGGTGCCGCGCTTGCTTAAACCGAAATTATTTTTTATTTATTTTCATTATTTTTTGGCCAACCTAATATATATATAGGTTTTGCGAAAAAACTTTTCTTTGAGAACAGCATTCTATACTTCGAAGGTAAATTCTGAGAATTAACTAGCGTAATCTCTTTTATTATGCTTTGAGTTCCTTATTTTTTGATCGTGAAGCAGAGGTTATGAGCATCTGTGAATTCGGTCGTCTTCCAGTTATGCTAATACATGTAAGATATATGAATGTGTCTCATAAGTTTGTCAGAACTACTTTATTTTAATGGCTTTGCCCTTAGCACTTTAAACTATCTTCGTTGCAGTCTGCAAAATCAAATTCAGATCTCGTTGAAACATCTAAAGTTTGTTGTGATTGAAGAATTCCATCTTTGTACAACGGATTCTGTTTATATGAAGAATCTCACAGCGATGCGAATTATTCTCACCAATGAAGCCTCGGTACTTTGTTATTCATTGCCAGTGTTGTAGTTTGATACACATTTTATATTCATTTCAGCCAGCGATTATTTGCATATCTAATTTGACATCAGTACAGCATATGTTTGACAAGAATTTCTTGGAAGAGATATTTCGGTCTAAATTCGTGAAAATTGTTGCTCCACCAGAACTTGGCGATATCAGGGTGTCAATATTGCCGGTGAGTCTTTCTGATTGAGATTGAAACTTTTATTCTTATTTTTACTATTACAGAATGTCGGCCCCAGAATTCAAAATCTACTGACTTAATTCTTAAGTGACTCGATGTGCTGATCACGAATATCATACCC